GGGTGCTAGCACGCGCGACGCCCTCAGCGAGCCGCGCAAAGGGAGACATGGGGAGATATGGGGAGATCGCTGCAGGGGAGATATGGGGAGATCGCTGCACCTCAGCGAGGCGCGCAGCGGGAGATATGGGGAGATATGGGGAGATAGCACCTCAGCGAGGCGCGCAGCGTTGGCGCGGCGGAGAGCGGCACCGCGCCCCAGACGGCAGGGGTGGTGGTGACGTGCGTGGAGGAGGTGCGGGCGAGGGCGGTGTGCACCGACCCCCGCACCTGAGATGTGGGGAGATATGGGGAGATATGGGGAGATAGCGAGGGCGGTGTGCACCGACCCCCGCACCTGAGATGTGGGGAGATACGGGGAGATATGGGGAGATAGCGAGGGCGGTGTGCACCGACCCCCGCACCTGAGATGTGGGGAGATATGGGGAGATATGGGGAGATAGCGAGGGCGGTGTGCACCGACCCCCGCCACTCCTCGGTTAGGGTTAGGGTTAGGGTTAGGGTTAGGGTTAGGGTTAGGGTTAGGGTTGGGGTTGGGGTTAGGGTTAGAGTTAGGGTTAGGGTTGGCACCTCGCGCAGCGGCGGAAGCACCAGCGCCGCGCCCGCACACAGCGCGGTGAAGGCCTGCAATACACGGCGGGAGAAGGGGGGGGGGGGGGGGGGGGGGGCCCATTGGGGGAAAAACCCCTCCCTCCCCCCCCTACGGGGGGGCCCAATGGCCCCGGGGGTACCGCCAAAATCCGGCAGTAGTAGTCAGCAGTGGTAGTAAGAGGGAGGGGACGCGCCTCGCCAATCGAAGGGTCGAAGGAGACGGCGGAAGCGAGCAGCACACGGCAGCCTCGCGCCACGCCGTGCGCCGCCGCGTTTGCGACAGCGTAGGCGGCGAGAGCGCGCCGCTCAACCGCACAGCCCTTCGGTTCGCCGGTCGAGCCAGACGTGTAGCAGACGTACGCGAGGCGAGGCCTACAGGGAAGTGTCCACGAGGTGTCCACGAAGTGCGGAGCCAGACGTGTAGCAGACGCACGCCAGGCGAGACCCGTCTGCCGCAGCGCGAAGGCGGGACGCCCAACCCTCCGACCCCCCGCCTCCCGCCCCTCCTCCCTCCCCCCCGAGCAGCATCTCGCCGGCGTCCGCCTCGATCACCGCCACTTTCCCACCGGCGGCGCGTCGGACGGCCGCAACAGCCTCAGGCAGAGACCCGGCCGGCAGCGTGGCGACGGGCGGCACGAGAGCGGCGGCGGCGGCGGTGTCGTGCAGCACGTGCCTCAGCCGCTCGGCGGGCGAGGCGGGGTCGCAGAGCACAAACGCGCACCCGGCGAGGAGTGCGGCGAGCGGGCCGATCACGACGAGAGGACCATCCGCCGCGACCACGGCCACAAACGGAGGGTCGACCGGCTGGCCGCCGCTCGGCGTGGCCTCCGGAGCACCCGCACCACGCGCCAGGGCGCCGGCGATGCGATCCGCCAGACGCGAAGCAGCGCTGATCAGCTGAGGGAGCGTCATCTCGCGCGGCGGGTCCGAGGTCGCGTCGACGAGGGCGGACGAGGCTGCGCCGCCCTCGGACTCGATCGCTAACGCTAGAAGCGTGAGCGGATCCAGCTCCATGGATGGTAAGCGGTGTGAACAGGATTCGGCACTTCGAGTACCCGGGTACGTGTGAACCAGCGCACAGCGCCATAGGAGGTATTTTCTTCTCAATAACAAGGCTGTGAACAGGATTCGGCACTTCAGCAGCTTGCATACACTCATACATTGGATTGTCATCGCCTGTGAGTGCAAGAAGGGCTAGCCGCAGGCAGCTAGCCCATGAGGAGAGCGTCCATAGACACCTCACTAGACCCCACATACGGTCTCGTCCGTGCCTCGCAGGCCGGTGAGATTGCTAGAGGTGGAGCAAGCTGCTCTAGCCTCACATGTCACTTCCTGTCGTCTGTTGTTTGAGTTGTGCCCTTGTTTGTGCCCTTGGCACCGTGGAGTGCTGGGGGGGGCGACAGGGAGGATGTGGCCCTGAGTTATGTGTACGCCGACTCAGGGTGTGTGGCAGCCAGCTGGCTGTGTGTCTTGTGAGCTTGTTTGTGTCTGTGTGTCGCTCGTGCGTGTCGTCATCATCTGTCCAGCGTCCTGGACATTCTGGACATTTGCTAAAGCTTGCTAAAGCACCTTCTGGACATTCTGGACATTTGCTAAAGCTTGCTAAGCACCTTCTGGACATTCTGGACAACTGGCGCGAACTCGCGCCGAAGGGCGTGTTGGGAAGATTCTGTGATTACCGCTGCGTGGTCGCTCGGTGGCCGTCGCGATCGGTCGTCCCGTGCCGGCCTCGGCCTCGCGGCCCTCGCACACCTTGGGTTCGTCTAAATTCGAATCGCCGTTGTGGAGTACGGGCGCGGCAAAGACGGCGCCTCGACAGCGCCTCGACGGCGGCCGCAAAAGCCGTCTCATGCACGTCGCCGCGCGGCCTCGAGGCGCCGCGAGCGTGCACTGCGGTCAGCACTACCCGCTCCGGCCCGAGACGGCCGACGCGCGCGCTCTCGCTCCCACCTCTCCACCCAGACGCTCCACGGTCGCTGTGTCGCAGCTGTGTCGCGGCATAACCACCGAGCCGCAGCGCGGCGCTCGGCCCGCGCCGCCGTCTCACGAGCTCGTCTCTCGCCCGCCGCGCAGGCGAAAACCAACTCGATGCCTCAAGGCTTGACTCGAACGACTCTCGTCACTGTACCCGCCCTCGTGCCACGCTGCAGCCGCCGCTCTCGTCTCTCCTCTGTCGCTTCGCCGCGGTCGCGGCCGCACGGAGGTGCCACGGGCGGTGCGAGTGATACTCCGCTTCGCGCCGTCCGGCTCCATATACTGCGACTGTCGCGCCGCGGATGAAAAAAAGGGTCCTGCCCCGCGCGCCTCGCGCCGCCGCGGCACTTGTTTGTAGTTTTTTTTGAGAGCGCCTTCGTTGTTAATAGTACAAACCCAATGGTCCCTTGAGCGGTCCGTCGTTGCAGTCGCACACACTCACACGCCACGCCGAACCGCGCGCCCACCCGCTGCCCCGCCCAGGCGGGAAAGAGATGAGGAGATGGGACAGCGAAGGAGGAGCTATGATGTAACATACTTGACCCCCCCCCTTGGGCCCTCGTGTTTTTCGTGCCAAACCAGCGCGATCTCGGCGGGGCGTCAGCGCCTCTCGGAGGGGCATCATGCGCTCCCGGGGCCGCCCGACGGCGCGGGCCTCTTGCTGATGGACCCAGCCGAGGTGCCCAACCAGTTGGAGTGGCGCTGACGCGCCGCGCGCGACCACCAGCCAGCTTTTCAGCGCGGTCGAGGACGGTGCGCCGAAAGAGTAGACAGTCTCCGGTCCATCCGGAATTTTGTCGTTTTAGTTAGCACTGCTGCTGCAGACAGGGCCCGCGTGACCCCATGCCCTTCCCGGATCCAGCTCGCTGAGGTGTGACGTCACCCCGGTGGCCGCCCACAGGTGGCTGACGAAGCGCCACTCATCGCTGCTTTCGCGCGCCTGCTCCACAGAGGGCTCCTGCGGCTCTCCCTCGTCGCGTGACCGCCGCCGACAGCATGTGCTCCGTCGTCCCCGCCGGCGCGGAGCTGCGCCACGTCGAATTGTTCGGTGGCTCGACCGCCGGCGCGCCCATCCTCGCCTCCTGCGCGCCTCACACCCAGTATTTTCCTCGCGCGCGGCCGACAAAGTAGGCACACGACCACCTCCCTCCCACTCACCCCCCCCCACGATGCACAGCCCGTCCACTCTCGCCGGCAAGGCGCACGGAACGCCCAATTTGGGCTGGAAATGCCGCCGCCACGGGTTGGTGGCGCCCTCGGCAGCGGGGCAGCGCCACGCCGCGCAAACTTGCGCGACAAACTTGCGACCTCTGTCCCTCGTATTCACCCCAGATTTTGCCCTATCCAGGCTCACCCGGTACCGCGAGCGACGAGCCGCGCCAAGTTTGCTCCATTTCCGACAAGTTCATCCCGCCCGAACGCCGATCTTCGGCCGCCTGGAGGCCCAGGACGGGGCTCGGGACCGGCCAGGTGTGGATTCTCCACGGCGCTGCGGTGTATCTGCGCGCCCATGGCGCGTTCAGGGGTGTGCCTGAGGCGTGTAGACTGCGGGGCGCCGCGATAGCGCGGCGCCGACGGTTGTGTCGCGCACTGTCACACCCACGACACGGTCACAGTGTGTGTGCAGTGCGTCCACTCCGGCGACCGTGACGCCGTCGGTTCTCGCCTATACCGGCTAGTGTGGAGCTCTCAGTGTGGTTGCGAGTTGTACTAGTGATGCTGCACTAGGCGGCCCGTTTTTAGCAAAAAGCAGATACCACATCGCGTGTGGTCGTCGAAAAACCGCATCTTCGCCCGTCTGGGACCTCTTCGTACGGCTCCAAAAACCGCTCCTTAACGACGGCTACGCGGCCCGGCGGTCGATCTGCGCCTTCTCAGCGGTGGAGGGGATGTGGGCGGTATGTGCGTACCGCGTGGTGTTGCGACGGTTTGACGAGTGCGACTCCCAGCGTCGACTTTTCGACCCCACGGAGCCTCTGCTGCTCCGGGGGGGGGGGTCTGCAGACCACCCGGCCGAACTTCAGAGTCGCGGTGCTCCTCAAATACCGCTCAAACGCCCACGATGTTGTGGAGGGGACATATGCTGATGATCCTGGCCCGATTGGTTCGCTCAGAAAGCTTCTGGGCGGTCGTTAAGGTTCGCTCCCCGCACACCGGCCCGGAAGTATGTTACATCATAGAGCCTCAAACACGTATGGGAGGGTTCAGTTGTGCGCCACGCTGCCCGGCGTTTCTCACTTTCCGGGACAGCCCCGCCCTTGCGAGGCGGGAAAGTGACGGCTACCCCGTACGCCCTGCGGCTTCTACCCCGACGCCGACCGCCCATCCCCCCCTCCTCGTTCCCCCCTCGAATTCTCCGGACCCCGACAAGCCGCCTGACGATGGGCTCCTGCCCCGCACGCCCCCGCCCCTTCTGCCCCTCGCTCACACCCCGGCGCCCGACACGCACAGGGACCCCGACAAGCCGCCTGACGATGGGCTCCTGCCCTGCACGCCCCCGCCCCTTCTGCCCCTCGCTCACACCCCGGCCCGACACGCACATACAAGACAAACCCGGCGTCCTGCTCTCAAAAGAAAAAGAAAAAAGGGAATGAGGAGACCAGCGGGGGAGACTCCCCGCCTATGCAAGCCCCAGAGAGGGGCCGCCATCGCCGAAGCTGTGCCAAAGCATAACTCCAAAACCCGCAGCGGCCCAGGGGGCCTTGGGGGCAGCCTGCCGGACCGCCGCTGCACGGGGCTAGGCACCAGAAGATGAGTGGAATTGATGAAGTGGGCCGTTGTCCGTGCCTCCCCTCTATACGTCAGAGTGGGACCTACGCCGCGCCGGGTAAGGGGCGCGCCCGGTCCTCGACGGAGCCGCGCGCCCCAAACGACCCAGGCGGCGAGTAGTCGTCCTCGAACCTTCGACATGTAGTTGCCCATAGTTAGCGCCCGCCCGCCCCCCCCTCCGTCGCTTCGCAAACGAAAAAACAAAATAAAACCAAGCAAAAGAGAAAGCGATGCCAAAAAACGAGTGCGTAAACGGCGTCACAAAGCCCGCCGGTTTTGATCGACAATCGTGAGATTGACCGCCGTCGACCAGAGAATGGCAGACGATGCGTCAGCTTGTGCGGCGCTCGCGCCGCGCAGGCTGGCCCATCGAGGGCACTCTCTGGCGCTGTCCGGGCCAAGCGCGGCGCCGCGCATGCTGCGTGCCACTCGCCGTGGCTTGCGGTGCAGCGCCACTGCAGCCTCGAAAACGTCGCGCACAGCACCAGCATGCTGCCCACCAGGCAGCAGAGTGCTGCACCGGCGTGCAGCGGACGCTGCGGCGCTGCGGCACCGCCTCCCCGCCCTGTCCACGGAGCAGACGAGCGGCGGCACGGCCTTCCACCAGCTGCAGGAGGTGCGCACTTCTCAAAGGAAGCACAGGATGCTCCCGCAGTTTACGCAGCCTTGTGCAGCGCAGCGCACGGGCCACGCCACACAAAGCCGACCCTCAGTCTGGCCTTTTTTTTGCTTGTTTGTTGTTGTATACCGCCTTGAGATGTAACAATCACAGATTCAGTAAGAGTCTGATGGGTATGACCACACTTGGAGAGGTGTACAGAATGTCCAGAATGTCCAGAAGGTGTCCAGAAGATGTCCAGAAGGTGTCCAGAAGATGTCCAGAAGGTGTCCAGAAGGTGTCCAGAAGGCTTCTGGTCAAAATGCAGCTATTTAACCTTTCGCCATTTGAGAAGGCCAGCTCCCCACCCCTGGCTTAATTAGTAATAGATCTAGATCTTTCAATTGTGCCGCTCTCAAATCTAGTCTGGTTCAGAATGGCGTCCGCGGTCCCGAGATATTACGTAACAAAGGTTTCCCTGGACGCTCCACAAACCCTATTCCGAGGGCTGACTCGCGACGGCAACGGGGCGGCGAGCCGGGTGGCGGGTTGCGGGGAGGAAGGAGGGGACGCGCCACGAGAAGGGGGGAGGGGCGCTCTCACGTCTGGCTGGCCCGCCCCGGCCCCCACGGGGTCGGGATGGTCGATGATGCTGCTCTAGGCGGTCGTTCCGGGTCGCCAGACCGGTCCTGCGGCGGAGTCGGAGGGTGAGGGGCAAGGGCACGGCCGTGCGGCGGAGGGGACTCGCATCGCGCAGCTCGCAGCAGCCCGAGAGGGCCTGAGCCCGGCCAGGGAGTTACCCACCGCTCGGGCCAAAGAGACAGCGTCGCTGGAGCTCCCCGCGGCCATTTTGTACGCCCGATGCACGCCTGACCCGGGAGGGGGAGGGGTGGTCAGAGAGACGCGGCGGGCCGGGGAGAGAGGGGACGCGCGCGCCTTCGAATACTCACTCGTGGCGCCGGCCGGCTCGCAGGGGCCGCCAGCGCCGCTACGGAGGCGCTGCCCGCCGGGAAGGTGCTTGGGAGGGGCGCTGGTCACTCCTTGGCGGCGCCTGCGGCCGGAGGGACGTGGGCTTCGGCGTGGCGAGCAGCGCGGGCGAGAGAGGGACGGCGCGCGGCTCCCAAACGAGCCGCACGGGCTTCGTCTGGGCCGCCGAGGCCACCCCCTTGGTCGCGGCGGCGGGCGTAGCTGACTTTGCTCGATTTTTAGCAAAACGGCCCCAGACCCTTGGGGACACCTCTCGGGTGGGCTCGGGTGCACCCGGGGCCCCTCCCCGAAAGGCAAGTCTTAGCCACATGAAATCCGAGACCCCTCGTCCCCACCCCCCCAACCCCCCCACCCCCTTGCTCCCCTCCCCCCCTCGGGAGGGCCGAACTGAGGCGGCCGCCCGTGGGGACCCCGCAATTCCCTTCCCCCCTCGGAGGGGGCCGGACGAGGCGTACCCCGAGGGCCCCACTCTTTCCTTCGCATAGCGGCCACTCTTCGGATCGCTGGTCGAGCGACCCGGGGGATGCCCCGCGCGCCTGACCCAGGCGCGAAAACGAATCTGCGAGGCGTGGCCGCTCATGCGGCCCGATGGGGAGGAGGGGAAGACGTAGGGCGTGCTTGCGCGCCTTTCTGAGGCCCCTCCAACCCACCCGCGCTAGGTCTCGGGGGACGCAGGGGTCAGCCCCGCGCGACCTCGGGAACTAGCCGGGGCAGTCGGAGAAGGGGCAACTCCGTGCACTGACGGTCGGCCGCCAGAAAACACGCCTCCGTGGCTCGGGTTACACCAATCCTCGCTACCCAACGCGGCCAAAGGATATCCACCTCGAGAACCTCGAGAGAGAACACACACAGGTAGGTGGGTAGGTAGAACACACGCTTTGGGCGCATTTTTATTTCTTTTTTGAGAGCGCCTTCGTTGTTAAGGTTGCTCCCGGCCCAGCGGGGATTTTGGCCTACTCAGTGATCGTCTAAAGGGCCCTAATGGCCTGCAAAGTGAAGCTTAATCGTTGGTAAAGTAACGATTAAGCGCGGTCTAAATGGCTTTTAAGTTCCAAATCCGAAGAGCTTCGGAGGTACGCGTGGCCGCTCACCCACTATGGCCGCTCAACGTTTTGAAAGTCATACCAAGTAGAGTTCACACGGGGGGGGGGGGGGGGGACCAGCCGCCCCCGGACCCCCCCACAAAACGCGGAATGCCCGGACCCTCGGGGTGCCGCGTCGGCCCTAGGCCGAGCACCCAGGCGACGCGCGAACGGCCAACCATGACAACCAAGCTCCACGCAGGCGCCTCATACTTCCTATCCGGCGTCATGCAAGGCAAGAAGGCCGACGGCGAGGGCATCGCTGGAACCGTGCCGCAGGACTACCGCCGAGAGATGAAGGATGCCATCCTCGCAGTGGACCATGGCGCCGCCATAATCGAGCCGTGGGATCTCGTCGGAGCAGAGGTGCAGAAGATCTACCGGGATGGCACGCCACAATCGGCGATGTTCGAAGCCGATGCAGATGTGAAGCATTGCTTCGAGGTCTGCGTGGACGCCGCGGCGCACGCGGATGTCGTCGTCTCATTCCTGCCAGAGGCTTCCATGGGCTCCGCGGTTGAGATTTATGCTGCCAAGCAGGCTGGCAAGCCCGTACTCGTCATTGCGCCAGGCACTATGGCGCAGAATTGGGTGGTGCGCTCCTACGCGGATCGCGTCTTTCCGTCCATCGATGCGCTGCAAACATGGCTGGCGTCGCAGAATGCAGCTGATCGCGCTGCACCCACTGCTCGCGTGCACCACGACAGCCTCGCCACCTACGCACGCGTGTGGGCGCTCCAGCGCCTCGTGGACATGACTCTCGGTGGCAACCAGACCCTCTCTGTCGAGGCGACGAATGCCTACCTCGAGGCGCTCCTCTTTGCCATCCTTCTCGCCATCGTCGGCGTCACCGGCTCCGTGCGAGCACAGCTGGGCACGGCCCTCTGCATCGCGGCGGTGACCTTCGTCAAGGCACCGTATGTATGGGATTGCGACTACTGGCTCCTCCTCACCGACCTGTCGCTGCTCGTGCTCTTTCTGGCGCATCGCCGCAGCGCCAGCAAGAGCCTCCGCCTAGAGCCTTCAGCGGGCGAGCGCGCCAGCCTCTTTGCCGCCGCGTCCTCGCTCATCCAGGAGCAGATGGGGCTGCTCTACGTGGCGGCGGGTTTTTGGAAGCTCAACTCGTCCTTCCTCTCGCCGCGCCACTCGTGCGCGCCCGTCTTCTTGCTGCAGCTCTTCGCCGACATCCTCACGCCTCGCGGCCTCGAGCTGCCTGCCGTGCTCGCCTCCGCTCTCGGCCAGATGGCGCCGCTGATGGTCCTCGTTGGCGAGCTCTCACTTGGCGTCCTGCTGCTGCTGCCGAGCCGCACCCTCAATCGTCTCGGCGTGGCGCTCGCGCTGCTATTTCACACCGCCGTCGCCGTCTGCCCGCCGCCCAATAACGTGGCCATCTTCTCGATGCTCTGTGCCTCACGCCTCGTGCTTGCCCTGCCGTGCGGCTTTGACGCCGCCGCCACCGAGCTCAAGGCCCTCGTAGGCGGCGCCGGCGCCCGCAGGTCGCCGCCGCTCGTCGCGCGCCTCTATTATGCCGCCGCCGCCGTCGCAGTGGCCATCGCTGCCGCACTCGCCGACCATCGCGAGGCGCTCGCTTTCTTCGATTGGGGCTTGCCCCTCTTTGTCGCTCTCGGCGCCTTCGTTTGCCGTGCAGTGTTCCTTGATGGTGAGGGTGCCACGAGCATGCCGACGGCTGCTGAGACGCTTCCGCTGTGGCGACTGCGTTTTGGCATCCGAAGCTTGACGCTCTTCTACGCGTTTGGCGCCATTGTGCTGGGCGTGCACGATCAGGGCCAGCCGCATATGTATGCCAATCTGAGGCTCCACGGCGGCTCGAACCACTACCTCATGCCAACGGGGCTGCTGCAGACACTCTTCGAAGGTGCCGACCCGCGTAGCCCCCTCGGCGACTTTTCCGGTGGCGTGGTGCGCATCGAGCAGACGACCTCCCCGTCGCTCAACGCGGCTTATCCTGCCGAGTACACCACGCAGTTCTCCAGCCGCACGCGCCAATTGCTCATGCAGGCGGGGCACACGGGGCGCATGTGGAACCCGATGCTCACGCTCATCACATCCTGTGAGGCGCCGTGGGATCCTAAAGGCGGCACGCCCTTTGTCAAGTACACGCTGCCCGCGCTCGAGCTGCGGCGCTTTGTGCACGAGCTGCGCCGAAAGGGCGAGGCCTTCGAGCTCACGTACACGCGGCTGCACAAAGCCACCGACGCCAGGACGCGCGTGAGCAGCGCACAAGGTACGACCATCACGCTGCGCGAGGATGGCAAGGGGGGGCGCAGCTGCACCGTCATTAGCGGCGGCGGCCTCGTCGGCGGGGTGGCCGCCGCCATCGGCCTCGGCAAGCCGTGTGATGCCGACGAGCTCGTGCTGCTGCCGCCGCCGTCGGCGATCGCGCGCAAGCTGCTGCTCTTCGAGCCGTACCCGATTGTTGAGGGCGACGAGGAGGAGGTGCACTGCTTTGGGCCGTAGCCCGATGCCCGTGAAAAGCGGTAGGTAGCTAGGGAGATTACCATATGCTACACCTACAGTACTGCTTTGAGCCCTCTGCAGGAGGCCCACATTATAGGCTATTCCAGGCTAGTATAACAACCCCTCTCGTCCAAAGTTGTCGCTGCAAAAGCATTCCCACGGCAACTATCTTACATAAAATTTCTTTGTACACGCCTTTGGGACTAGTGCACTAGTCAAGAGCAGTTGCTGACGTGCTCGGTGGGGGGGGGGGGGGCATCTAAAACCAAGGGACTCCCCCCCATGCCATATCTTTTATTGTGCCTAGGTTGTAGAGCACCTTAAAAAAGTACTTTGTCTTGGAGTGAAAAGTTTTTCGATGAGGTGGGGGTCAGTGGTGAGCAGATTCCCAGATTCTCCAGATTCCCCCTCAAAAACCTCCCCTTTTAGTTGAGTTCATTGCGGCCGCGGGTTTGCTCGGATTACTTTTCACTCTAGTTTTTTGGTGTTCCGGTGCCTACAAAAAATATCCGAGATCATATGGAGCTGACCACAGGGTTTGCGGCGATCACTGTCCTACCAGCGGGCACAGTGGGCCGCGGACACCCGTGAATGAGCCACATGAAATCCGAGAGCCCTCCCCACCACCCCAATCCCCCCACCCCCCTCGGGAGGGCCGAACTGAGGCGCCCGTGGGGACCCCGCAATTCCCTTCCCCCCTCGGAGGGGGCCGGACGGGGCGTACCCCGAGGGCCCCACTCTTTCCTTCGCATAGCGGGTTAGCGGCCACTCTTCGGATCGCTGGTCGAGCGACCCGGGGCGCGGGGGATGCCCCGCGCGCCTGACCCAGGCGCGATAACGAATCTGCGAGGCGTGGCCGCTCATGCGGCCCGATGGGGAGGAGCGGGGCGAGCCCCCTCCAACCCCCACCCGCGCTAGGTCTCGGGGGACGCAGGGGTCAGCCCCGCGCGACCTCGGGAACTAGCCGGGGCAGTCGGAGAAGGGGCAACTTCCGTGCACTGCTCTGGGCCGGCGCGGAGGCCCCAGAGGGTGTCCATGCGGGGGGGAGATGGGGTCCCCCAGCCCGCCGCAGGCGCCGATTTTTTCGCTATTTTTCTTTTTTGGCGATTTTTTACTTGTTTTCATGGGAATTCGGCGTACTTGCGGCCATGCTATCACGCCTTGCGACAGCCTGTCGGCGCTGCTGACCGTGCCATGATGCACAATTGATCACCTGCATAGCTCGCGGCCTTAGTATCAAGCACTCAGCGACGACCTGATCGTACGGCCAGTAGGAAGGTGTCCTTCCATCGTGTGCACGCTTCTGACGCAATGCGCGTCACAAACTGCCTCGGATTGGCTGCTGGCACTCTCAAGGCTATGCCTACACAGCCTCGCGCGCATGGGCAGTCAAAAGGGACCACGCACTTCTCAGGACAGCGCCGGTGCCTCTCTCTTGGACCGGAAAACTTGGTGGTATCGTGTCACCAATGTGGGACCAGTGCGGCATCGCGCCACCGACAGCTCTGAACTGCGCCTCACCACTGACCGGGAAGGCCGCCAAGTGGGCCAGCACAGGTCGCACATGTGGCAGCAGTCAGCAGTGCATGGCTGATAGCTAGAGCAGCAGCGTCAGGGTCGCAGGGTCGGATCGTGTCAAGCCTCTCGCCCGGCCGGCCGCGTGCAGACGTCGGCCTTGTCTGCTGTCTGCAGTGATCGGTCGGCGGTCAGTACGACCGATCAGGTTGGAGGTTTCTCATGATTGGAGGGTCTATCTGTGTGTACTCCTCGAGATCTCTCCAAATCTGCCCTCTAATCAACCGTAATCATTCGGGAAGTCGGTGCTAATAGAGACTAATAGAGCCGGAGCCCCGTTTCCGCACTGCGGCGCGGCGCACGGTGTGGGCCGGGGCCCCCGCGCCGGCCCAGAGGTGCACTGACGGTCGGCCGCCAGAAAACACGCCTCCGTGGCTCGGGTTACACCAATCCTCGCTACCCAACGCGGCCAAAGGATATCCACCTCGAGAACCTCGACAGAGAACACACACAGGTAGGTGGGTAGGTAGAACACACACTTTGGGCGCATTTTTATTTCTTTTTTGAGAGCGCCTTCGTTGTTAATAATAATAGAGAGCGCCATTTGTTTTTTCGCTAAAATTCCTTTTTCGCTGTGAGAGAGAGTTGTTTTGTTTAAATTCTTTTTTCGCACAACAGATTGTGAATGAGCTTGCCAAGAGAGAGAGAGAGATTTTTAGCAATACCAAACAACTCTAACACTCACACGTCATTTGGGGCCTGGAGCCCTGTTCACGCGCGCGCGAGACGTGCAGACAGGGTTGCCAGGTGAGAGTTTTGTGAGAGTTTTGTTTTGCTTGCCAACGGTGAGGGCGGTCGAGTGCACGGAGCTACTCGAGTAAGTGCCTCGCCGTCCTCGCCGGAGTCGCTTAGGCGGCTCCAGTGGTGTACCTGTGTTAGTGCCAGTGCGCGCCAGTCCCGTGCCCAGTCCTGTGCCCAGTGTTGTGCGAGGGAGTTTTGTTGTAATTTTTTTCATTCCCTTGTTTAAATTCTTTTTTCGCACAACACTGGGCACGGGACTTGGTGTACCTGTGTTACCAGTGCGCGCCAGTCCCGTGCCCAGTGTTGTGCGAGGTGCTGAAAATTCTTTTTTCGTACCTGTGTCGAACCTGTGTGCTGTGCGAGCGGGGTTTTGTTGAATTCTTTTTTCGCTTGCCACCACAGCTCGCCCAGGCCCCCTGGCTGCGCAGCGCTGCGGCGCTGCAGCTCTCCCAAGTACAGCACAGGCGAGCGGAATGCCGTTGACGAGTGCACAGCCGCGGCGCCGTACTCGCCGCGCGACGCAGCTCCTGGTGGCGCTTGCGCTTGCGCTGGCGCTCATGCTCCTCGGGCACGTCGGCACCGCGGCCACGCTGTCTGACTGGCGAGACGCGGCGATGGCGGCGACTGTGGCGACGCTGGACACGCAGACGCCGCCTACAGCCTCTCCGCCTACAGCCTCTCCGCCATCCGGCGCCCCGCCGTCCGCCTCGCCGTCTCCGCAGGACACCTCGACTGCGCTCTCGCTGCCGCAGGAGCGGCGCTCGAGATCCGAGCCTCCGCCTCCGCCTCCGCCTCCTCCGCCGCAGCCGCAGCCGCAGCCGCGCACAGCCTCGCCGCTCGCGGCCTTGCCGCCGGAGCGCGACTGTGGCAGGAGGGCGGCTGCAGTCTCCGCCCCGCCCTGGCAGCCCTCGCCGCTCGGCGGCAACGGTCGCATCTTTGCTCGTCCCGAGACGCTGCGCCCCACGAGGAACCCTCCTTGAGCCTTCCCGGAGCGCACGCGCAGGCCTCGTCCAGCTAGTGGCGACGCTCTCCCACGCGCGCCACGCCCTGCCTCCGAGGGGGGACCCCGAAGCGGCGTCCGCCCCGCGTCTGCGCCGCAAGAGCGCGCGGCGCTCACTCTTTGAATTGGTAATGAGCTGACTAGGAAGCGTGCGGGCCGCAGCTGACCGCAGAGGGCGAGGCGGCTTGGGCACTCGCGTCGCAGATTGTGGAGGCGGTGCCGATGGCAGAGGCCCCGATAGCAGCCGAGAGCAGCCGAGAGCAGCCGAGATTGTGGAGACGGCGCCGACGGCACCTCGTCGATGTGGCCCGCTGAATGCGATTGCGTGTGGTGATTAGGCCGAGCGCGAGCGTGCGGCAAGTAATGAATCAGTTAACTAGTGATAACTAATTACTTACTTGAGTAGGCCGAGCGCGAGTTCGCGCAGCGCGTCGCCGCGGCGGAGGAGGAGAGGAGGCAGAGGGAGGCGCGCTCGGGCGCGTCTCCTCCTCCTCCGCCTCGGCCACTTCCTCGAGCTCGCGCCAGCAAGCAATTGATCAATTGATGAATGCATGAGCTAAACCACTCAGTAGGCCGCTTCCTCGAGCTTCGCCTCCGCCGCCTCCGCCGTGCGCCGCGACACACTCTACAGCGCACTCTTCGACGTCCAACTGTCGACACACACCCGCACCGTTGCCTGTACTACGTATGTTCCGGCAAGCGCAATTCGGAAAAGTACTTATGCACACCACGCGTGGACAAGTATTGCACGGCGTGACAAGGAAGGGAGGGAGAGGCGATGGTGTGCTCCAGCGGCCTCTCCACGTCCTTCCTCTGCGGCAGGTGCACCGAGGGGCCGGAGGTTTGCCTTGCGGCGCTGGTAGCGAGCGTGCCGGTGCTGGACGGCACGACCGGCAAGTTCGTGCCGGTTCTCGCCGCACCGGGGCTCTTCCACACGACGGCAGTTTGTGGACGGCGTCGGTGCACACGTGGCGTTGCGAGTAGGCATTCCGCCGCACCGGCCTCCGCCGCACGGCAACAACGGCGTCTCTTCAACACGTTGCGGTGCGAGTAGGTTTTGACGCACCAGTCTCCTCCTCTCGACGGCCATCTTCTGTCTGCCTCTGCGACGCGGGGTACCGCATCCGTCTACGATGGCGCCGGCACTGTCTGGGCGCGTGTTGCGGCCAGGATTGCGGTCTTTTCTGAGCTCGTATGAGCGTCAAGGATGGAGGGTCTTCCTCTTAGGCGTGCCGTCCTAGAAGGTTCCGAGAAGGTTCCGAGAAGGTTTCTAGAAGAGCCTCTCCTCTTCAGGCGTGCCGCGGCCAGGATTGCGATCGGGCAGGCGGCGGCGGCGGCGGCGGCGGCGGCGGCGGCGGCGACGGCGGCGACGGCGGCGGAGGAGGAGGCCGCGTGGGTGCTGCGGAGCTGCTCCGTCGGTTGTGGGACGTTTGCGAGCCTAGAAGCGGGAAATACTGATCTTCTGTAGTAAGCTAGGACACTTGCATTCAGCCATTTCAATTATTTCCCGCCGTATTCAGCGGTATTGCAGCTTTTGTATGCACGCGGTGCTCTGGAAAAACGGCAGAACAACTGAGCTCGGTGCTCTCATGACGTAGGCCTGGGAGCCGCAGCTAGAGCTGGAGCTGGCCGCAGAGGCATGCAGCAGCGCGGGTTCGTCGAGAGGAGGCGCGTGCGCGAGCGCGGCGGCGGCACGGAGGCAGCTCGACAGGCGCCGCCGCACGTTGTCTTCCGAGCGCGTGGGTGCGCAGTTGGCGGCGTCGCGCGGGACAGAGGCGCTGGCGCTGGCGGAGGCCAAGTCCGTCATCGTCCAGGGCAGCGTGCGCGCGAGCGGCGCGGCGCGAGCGCTGCATCGTTGACTAAGCTCGAGGTTGATGGAGTGACAGGCAACACGCGCAAGTTCCGCGGGGAGCGCTGCTTCCGCCGCTGCAAGAGGAACGGCGCGTGCGAGCATTGCGGCACGGACCTCTGCTGCCGGAAGGGGTGGGACGCCAACCAGAGCCGTAGCGGAGGGGGGCCCGCCGAGTCGGGTTGCGGCGGACTCGGCGGAGAAGGCAAGCACGTCTGCACGCGCGTGCCGGCCATCGACGCCAACGCGACGGCGCGAGAGAGTTTCGCAGAGGTGCGGCCCGCCCCGGGTCGTCTAATCTCGGCTCATCTCGGTTCGTCTCGCGATCGGAGCAAGCTGAGAGGCGGCTATCTCGTGCAAGCTCGACCAGCCTCGCGCCCGATCGGCGAGTGGACTGTTTGGCTGATCAATCACGTCACTTCTTCAGGCGCTTGCGGCCCACCTCGTGCTTCTGCCGACCGCGCGCTCCTTCGCGGCGCCCGTCACCCTCGCACATGTCGCCTCCGACCTCGGCCTCGCCCTCAACTCCTCCAAGCGAAGGAGTGGCGGTCCTGCCGCCACGGAGTCTGCGGACGCGGCGCCGCCGTGGCGAGGCGTCGGCAGGGCGGGCGAGGCGTTTTGCGGGTCCACCCCAGACGGCCGCAAAGGCTCGCGTCGGTGGCTGAGCTGCGGCGGGCTAGGTGACCACCACGGCGGTGACCTCGAGGCGCAGGGCGAGCTCGAGGCGGCCGTTGCCGCGCGGGCGTGGGTGGCCGGGCCGGGCGAGCGGCGGCAGCTCGTGCTGGCTTGTCCACGACACATCCGTGACATGTCCGCGGCATGTCCTCAGGCGAGCGGCCGGAGCTCGTGCTGACGTACGCGAACGAGGCGGGCACCGCGTGGGTGACGAACCTCGTCCTCTCGCTGCGATCGGTTGGTGTGGACCACTCGCTCATCGTCACGCCGTCAGCGGCACACTGCTCGGCGCTCTTCTCTTCGCCGGCGAGGCTGTCGTGCGGCCACACCTCGTGGGAGGTGCCTGCAATGCAAGCCAAGGAACTCTGGGAACGATTCTTCGTTCATGACTATCCAAGGGTTGCTTACTGACCAGGCGCCCGGCTGCACAGCCGAAGCACGGGGTCGGTTCGTTCACGGCTCACCCCACGGTTGACGATCAGGTACATGCCCAGCAGTCGAGGGACACGGGAACGGTGCATTCAAATCACAAAGCGTCAACAGGTGCCCGGTTGCAGTCGAAAGATGAGGAACAAGATGCGCACGCTCTGGTATTTGCGGCACCACTACATGGTGCGACTGATCGACCTCGGCGCCAGACACGCCCGCGCTCGACACCACCCTGGACCGCCCCGAGGCCAACCGAGGTCGAGGCACGGATTAGGCGTCAACACGCTCATGCTCGACGGCGACATCACGCTGCACGGCAACCCGTACGCGCTGCTCAAGGCGCCGCCGCTTCACCATTCCAGTCAGATCCACACATTGCTGCGCACCTCTGGCCGAGGCGCTGACGAGCAACACCGCGCTGCAGTCGCTCTTGATCTAGTAGCGTTGGGGGAAGAGGTCCAGACGACCAACAGCCCGACGAGTCAACCTTGGCACACTGATCATGCTCCCTTGCTCAAGGCGCCGCCGCTGGCCCGCCACCAGCTGCTCTACTCGCTCGACCACCGCAACTTTTGCGACGAGGTCAACATCGGCTTCATGTACTGCCAGGGCTGCGCGCGCCGCGGCCGCGCGCAGTGGGTCGTCAACGAGACGCTCCGCCGAGAGCGCTCCTTCTGCTCGCCCGACGCGAACGCGGTGTACGGCGACGGCGGCACTTTCTTCGCCGCCACGGACGCCGCCGGGGTGTGCATCTCTCCGCCGCACCGGCACCGGCCCCGGGAGGAGGAGGCTTCTAGGGCGCGTCTCTTGACGCCCGGCGGGGCCTCCCTGCACAGGTCACCTCCCCGCCGCACCGGCCCCGGCTGTGGGCGTCGGCGCAGGACCAGAAGGTCATGTCGGACGTCCTCGCGTCGTCCTGCTGCGGCAAGGACGTGTACCGCAAGCTCATCCCGTACCACTACACGCTGCTCGACAAGGCGGCAGTGAATTCAGTCACTGGTGGGTGGAATTAATGAATGCGTTGACCATTGGACACGCTGCTGACAAGGCGGCCTTCGCGAGGCACTTTTACCCGACGGGCAGGTGCAACGAGATGAAGCGCGAGCGCGGCAACGGCGCGTGCCATCCCCCCCTCCCCCCCTCCCTCGCCCTCCCTCTCCTCCTCTCCCCCTCTAGTTCTCCGCTCCCCCCCCCCCCCCCCCCCTGCCCCCCCCCTCCCATCGCCACGCCGGGCCGCACGCCAAGCAGCGCAACATGAGAGCGCACGCTCTCTGGCCCTAGGCGCGGGCGGATGCCACTACGCGCCACTCCTCCTCTACAACTCCTCGGACGGCGCGCCGCCGCCGCCAGAGACGATGGCGACGGTCCCGTGGCGCATGCTCTCGTCGTGGCACGGCACCTACATAACTCACTGCTCATTAGCTCGCAGTCGATTAATTAATCAGGCGCGTGCTGTCGTCGTGGCACGGCACCGGCGACGGAGAGCGGGCCGGCTGGTCGGGGTCGTGGTACGCTCTCTCCCCATCTCTCCCCATCTCTCCCCATCTCTCCACATCTCCCCACATCTCCCCACATCTCCCCCTGACTTCGGTGTGGCTACGGACGCAGGCTGAGCGAGCCTCCCGCGTTCGCGCACTTTGTGGGCGGCGACGTCTCGGGCACCAAGGTCGCGTAGCCAATTAATCAAGTGATCAATCAACGAGTGAACTAAGGAATGAACGAATGAACGCACTCATCGCGGCGGCGTGCCGGGCACCAAGATCGCGATGATACATCTCCCCACATCTCCCCACATCTCCCCACATCTCCCCGCATCTCCCCACATCTCCCCACATCTCCCCACATCTCCCCATATCTCCCCATATCTCCCCGAGGTCGCGCTGATGGAGGCGCTTGGCGTCTGGTACTTCGAGGCCGACGAAGTCGTGCAGCACGTGCGCACGGCCCTCGGCCTGCCCCCCGCCAACCCGACGGGCGGAGGCCTGCCGCCGCAGCTGCTGCAGAGCGGATGTGCCGCCGGTCTTGCGCAGCACTGTTGGGCAGACTGGGCGCTGCTGCCGCCGCCTCCTCGCCCCGCCGCCGGACGCGGCGCGCCACTGCTGGCGCCGGCGGGCGGGGGAGGGAGCGGCGTGAGCACGCCGCTCGCTGTACCGCTCATTGGCGCCGGAGCAGCCAGCGCTCTCGAGACCATCGGAGGAGTCAGCGGAGCTCCGCCGCCGCCGCCGACCCCGCCGCGAAACGCAACCTCCTCCGCCGCCGCCTCCTCTTCCTCTTCCTCTTCCTCCTCCTCCTCTTCCTCCTCCTCCTCCGCCGCCGCCTCCTCCTCCTCCTCTTCCTCTTCCTCCTCTTCCTCCTCCTCCTCCGCCGCCGCCGCCGCCTCCTCCTCCTCCTCTTCCTCTTCCTCCTCTTCCTCCTCCTCCTCCGCCGCCGCCTCCTCCTCCTCCTCCTCCTCCGCCGCCGCCGCCGCCGCGGGCAGCGGCAGCGCGCTCCCCCGCGTTCGGCTGCTGCAGCTGTCCGGCCCCGGCGCGACGCCGCTGCTTCCGACGGGTGCTGCCTTCCTCGAGCACGATTTGCAGGCGCGCGAGTCCGGCTCTCGCCGCAGTCAGCGAGTCGATCCATTCTGAATCCTGTCGTTAGCCGTTCCCTTCACTGCAGACGCGCGTGTCCGGCTCGCCGTAGTGAGGGAGTCCAGGCAATATGAGCCTTCATTCGCCGTTTCCTACTCCCTTCCTCGCAGGCGCGCGTCCGGCTCGCCGTGCTGGGCGCGCCGCCTCCGCCTCGCCAGCGTGCGACGAGTCCATCAGCGAAGTCGCTGCTCACTCACTCACTACAGGTGCCCTCCTCCGCCGCGTCAGCGTGCGGCCGCGCGCGCACTGCGACTCCCCGTGGGCCGTCATGCAGCAAATGGGCTTCCGCGGCGTGTGGCAGACGCCGGGCGAGCGGTGGCCGTTCGCGGGCGTCGGCATCGCAATCGGGCGGTGCGGCGGCGGCGCGCGGGCGGCGGAGCGCGGCAGGGGCGAGGCGCGCAAGTTCTGCTGCAGCCCAATCTACTCGAGACTACCCGAGATTACCCGAGATGACCCGAGATTACCCGAGATTACCCGAGATTACCCGAGATTAGGGCACGTTCTGCTGCAGCCCGATCTACGGGCGGCTGCTGAGCAAGCGGCAGGTTTGGCTGGCGGCGGCTCGGCGCACGCATGTGAGTGGTGAGTCGCTGATGGGCGCTGGACTAGCGACGGATAGGCGGGCTGCGGCGGCTCGGTCCACGCTTCGTTTGTCGAGAGTGGGAAGAGGGCGGCGGTGACCATCCCTCTCTCCGCGCTACCGCGCACGCAAGGCGTCGCATCCTCGACGCACCCTCCTTACTTACTCCGCAATGAACAATGAGTTGATGACGCGATGAAGGCGGCGCCCTCGACGCGCCCCGCCGTGGCCAAGCTGCTCGATCAGCCGCCGTATGCGTCGGCAAAACTGCCC